AACGAAGACAGTGATGGCGCCTTCTGGACGCACCTGCGCGTTGGATAAGGCTGTTGCTCGCGGAAAGCCAACTTCTTCTTTTGGGTTGGGTGTGCCCCTTGGACGTCCAGAGGCAAGAAACCAAGCGGTTGCCCACTAAAGTGGTTTCTGGCAGCACTGGGTCAATGTCAATGTTGCAGGCACTCCAACTCCCTCAAGGTGATGGTCGTTGCTCAGGACTGCCCTGGAACCTGCTCCGAAGGGGGACGAGTCTACCATACATGATACGCTACACGAGAGTTCAGAATTGCCGTTCATTGTTTCTGCTTGTTTACGATCGGTATGGATATCAATTGATAACCCTTGGCGCACATCATCTCGGTCGCGAATATGTTCTCCAACCACTCGAGAAAATCATAGCCCTGGAAGTGGATCACACAATCACGCTCGCCTTGTCATGGTTCCTACACGTCCCCGCCCAGCGGAAGCTCATGTTAAATTGATCCTGACACGTGCTGTTGAAATCAGCGGAAAGTGTTTTTCCATGCTTGTCAAGTAAAACTCAAAGGAGTGTGTGGCTTTTCCACAGCCCCAAGCCAAACGTCGGCTTTTCTCAGCCGGAACAGACAGACTGAGGTCCCAGGCGAGAGGAATACCTTAAAGCCCAGCACTGGCACCAAAGGCTCTGAGGTCCAGGTGATGAGACCTGGCCAAAAGCCCACGGCGCACCGCCGTCTTTTTCCTCTCTTTGTTTTTGCGGCTGCATGGCAAAGTCAATTTGGTCAGATTTAAGTTTCCACTTCGTGTGGCACGTGTCGGAGTGTCGCACGGTCAACTTTCCCTTTAGTTAAGTCATAGCATTATAAAGGCTTGCAGTCGCAGTGGCTTGCAAGTGTAATATCTGGCCGCTCTGCATGCGCTCTTTCACCTGTAAGACTACAAAGTCTTGAGTGACTTTTTGCAGTTGACAGTGCCGATCAGTATCTAGGAACAACTGTAATGGTTGAAAGTGGCTATAAGTAAACTAGAGGCAACTGAGTTAGTTGGGAAAACAGGCCAACCACGGAAAACACCAAACAAGAAAAAACGCAGCCTCAGCGCCGGCGAACCCCACCAACCTGACCCGGGCCGAAGTCTCTTTCTCGCCCCACACGTGCCTGAATCGACGTGGGGACCCGGCGACTTCTCATCCAAGGCCGACGGATCCAAACTTGAGCCGGATAGGCGCGGCACTGCCAATACAAGAAAATTGGGGGCTCCAACCTCACCATGAAAAAAAGAAAAAGGCAGCCTCGTGAGAAAAAAAAGGGGGGGGACATCAATTTCTAATTTGGTAGCTGTGGCAAAGCAAGCAGCAGGATGGTTTTCTGTTCGGCAATGTTTGCTCTTGCCCAAGACTGGATGCTCAGTACTTGCCGTGTTGTCTGAATGCAGGACAAAAGGCTCCTCTTTCTGGCTTCTCTTTCAACCAGCTGGCAACCAGATAGTTGCTCTTTTAGAAAATGGGGTCTTCCAACTCGGTCTATTCTAGAAAACGGGGTCAACCAATCCAGACTGAATTCCTAATTTTAAGAAAATGGGGGGGGGGGGCATTTCTGACCAGACCCATTTCCTGTGACACACACTTTAGAAAATAGGGGGCGCCAGCCCCACCATGAAAATAAACAACAAAGAAAAAACAAGCCGGGCTCAACCTGGCACCAACTCCAGGGTGACTGTGCGGGAGGGTGGCCTCAGCGCTGTTGGAGGGACATGACAACCACCCACTTGCCTCCCAAGCAGCAGCATCGCGCTTCCACAACAGGTTGAGGACAGTGGTTAGCAAGGCGGAGGCCGTGGCTATCAACGAGCTCCAGTCAACCCTGGGCAAAGGCAAGCACGTTTGCCTGCTCGGGCACTAGCCCTGTGTTCCTGACACAAAGTTGGGCCCCACACCCATGAACCGAAGTCACCACGCCCACCGCCAAGGCCAAGTCGCTTACTCCTAGCAAGCCAGCAACGGGGCGGGCCACCCACTTCTCGACGAAGGCATCAGATGCCATGATTGCCAACGCATGGTTCGATGTGAACAACCCTCGCCGTCTCATCCCACGCGCGCTTGACCCCCTCCAAGTAGGAGATCATACCTCCCGCAGTAGTTCCGCAACACCCTCCTCTGGATTCAGTGGTGCACTCGTCGGCTTCATCAGGCCTCCCATTCTAAATCGACTGGTTTATCTCGATCATGGCCATCCCATTCCGTTTGATCTTCTGGATCTGAGCCACCTTCCCGAAGTCCACGAACTTCATGACCACGTATCCCACAAAGTGGATCTCGCTCCACGGCAACTCAGAGTTTGGCTCAACCACAAAAACGCCTTCCCGATTCGCACGTACCTGATCGCAATTAGGTCCTCGGAATAAAGCGCCATTATCACTGAATCTACCTGACCCCCCGGAAAGGCCCATCCCGCCCAGCTCTCGCAAAAACCAAACTGATTGACCGTCACCCAGCCGCCCTTCCGTTGCCCATCCTCTATGAGCCGCTCAGCGTTGAACATTGCCTTGGCCAAGTTGATTTTGATTCCCTCAAAATCTTCCAGGGTCATCTTCATCAACAGCTTCGCCGCCTGGGTGGAGCTTTGGCCCGCAGATCCACCTGCGCCGGGGCGAAAGGCTTAATCCTCGCTGAACCTCAAACTGTTCCGCACCTCCTTTCTGAGCCTATTGGCAAGGCTCTCGACTTTCCTACTTCCCGCGCCGATCGACTCCTGCATCGTTCTGGCTATCGCCTGAGATTCAGCAGGATTACATTGAACGGATTGAGGTTGACTGAGTCGCCCCGGTCCCCCTCAATCGGAGCGCAGCGACATCGTTCGAAAGAAGTCGTCTGTCCTGCGTGAATTCCTTAACATCCATTTAACATTCAGTTCCCTTCAAATTAAAAGGAAACTGAATGTTTAAATGGATGTTAAATTATGCTAAATATTTAACATGTATTTAACTTTCATGGGTGTGCTGTTGCTTTATGCTCCTCTTAACTGTCGCATCGGTTTGCCTATGTCTTAGCGAGGATTCACGAATCAGCGCTGATTCGGCGGATCCTTGCTTCTTCAAATCCTTGCCAAAACGGCGCTGATTCAGGGATCCTTGCCAAAACCTGCAAGGGTTCGAGCTTCTCAGCGCTGATTCGCAAGATTCCTTGCCAAAACGGCGCTGAAACCACAGTTTTCCTTGCCAAAATGACGAGGATTTACGAATCCTTGCCAAAACCTGCACTGAAAGAAGGACTGGGGAATCCTCGCCGAGACGATTCGGAGCCACGTCACCATCATCGGTGCACCTGCCACGGCTGTGTGGTGTGTCCCGATCGGGAGTATCATTCACACGGCCTCCTAGGAACTCTTCGTAGTCAAAGTCCGGGAGCGGAGGCCACCTCCAAGGATAGCCTGTTCATCCACGACCCGGGCTCTCCGTGTAATCGACGTCATAGATCTCGTAGTTGGGGTCACGAGCGCGTAGGGAAGTCCTGCGGCTGATAAGGTGTGACTCGGGCACGAGCCTGTGCCCAGGCAATTGAGTTAGTTGGGAAACACGCCACAAAAGAAAGGGCCCCAAGTTACCCAATCCCAGTCCCAAAGTGTTCAGGGTTTCCAACACACAAGTAACCAAAGCAGCCACGGCAAATGCCAAACAGGAAAAGGGATACCCGCGACAGAAAAGGGATACCCGTGGCCGAAGACGACGACGAACCACATGGGCGAACCCCACCAACCTGACCCGAGCCGAAGTCTCTTTCTCCTCTGACACGTGCCTGATCGACGTGGGGGCCCGGCGACGCTCATCCAAGGCCGCGAAGGCTCCAAACTTGACCCAGATGTCACCGGTTGCTATCGCAACACCCCAGGTGACATCTTGAACACATGGCTAATCACGTACTGCTTTAGTGACTACTACCAGTGAAGTCCGGCAGAGCCGGGGGGTGGAAGTTTCAACAATATATAAACTATAGTTATCTTTATCTTTCTTTTCTTAGCCCTTTTCTCTTGTTCATGCTTTCCTTCCTTCTTTCTCCTTTCTTCCGTCCTTCCTTCTTGCTCTTTCTTTCTTTATTGTTGTCTTTCTTTCTTTCTTTCTTTCTTGCTTTCTTTCTTTATTTCTTTCTTTCTTTCTTTCTGTCTGTCTGTCTGTCTGTCTGTCTGTCTGTCTGTTTTTTTTCTCTCTCTCTCTCTTTCCCTTTCCGTCTTTCTTTCCAAAAGTTTACAGATCAATATCTCTATCTTTCTATGTATCTACCTACTTATCTACCTGTCTACCAATGTCTCGCTCTCCCTCTATCTGTCTATCAATCTAGCTGTCTACCTGTCTACCTAACTATCTATCTATCCATCTAGTTCTACATATTGCCTTTCTATGTATCTATCTATCTTCTCTCTATCTATCCCCATCTATGTATCTATTTACCTATCTATCGCTCGCTATCTCTCTCTCTCTCTCTTTCTCTGTTTACCTATCTATCTATCTATCTATATATCCATCTATATATATATATATCGATCTATCTATCCATCTGTCTATCTATCTATCTATCTATCTATCTGTCTGTCTATCTATCTATCTATCTATCTATCTATCTATCTATCTATCTATCTATCTATCTATCTATCTATCTATCTATCTATCTATATATCTATCTAATCTAATCTAATATATCTATCTATCTATCTATCTATCTATCTATCGACATATCTATCGATGTATATATATGTATGTATCGATATATCAATCGATATATATATATATCTATCTATCTATCTATCTATCTATCTATCTATCTATCTATCTATTTATCTACCCATCTAGTTATTTAGCTTCCATCTATCTATGTATCTATCTATCTATCTGTCTAACTAACTAACTAAGTAACTATATTTATCTTTCTTTCTCTACCCATCTATCTACCTATCTATCTATCTATTTGTCTATCTACTTTCTATTTATCTATGTCTCTATCTACCTCTCTCTCTCTCTCTCTACCTATCTATATGCTTGTCTATTTATCTATTATCTATCTCTTTTGTCTATCCCTCTCACTCTCTCTCTATATCTATCTATCTATGTAGCTAACTATATATTCCTCTCTAAATTATTTATCTATCTATCTATCTACCTACCTACCTCTCTCTCCATCTATCTATCTATCTATCTATCTATCTATATATATATATATATATATCTATGTGTCTATCTATGTTTCTATCTATCTATCTATCTATCTATCTAGCGATCTTTCTATCTATCTATCTATCTATGAGTTTCTCTCACTCTCTGGCTCTCTCTCTCTCTCTCTCGATATCTCCATCTATCTGTCTATCTATCAATATATCTATCTTTCTAAATATTTATATTTATCTATCTGTCTACCTACCTACCTCTCTCTCCACCTATCTATCTATCTATCTATCCATCTATCTATCTATATTTAATACTTCTATCTATCTATCTATCGGTCTATCTATCCATCAATCTATCTATCCATCCCTCTATGCTGCGCCTGCCGCGAAGGGTCTTTGCCTTACATTGCCAAAGTGTGCTACGATATAGGCCATGCGCGACTGCTAGTGACTGTTGCTGGTGAGCGTGGCTATGACTGTGACTGCCTATGAGGAAGCCGTTGAGAACAAGACACTTCAAGAAGCAAGCTCAGCTTCGGACTTTGGCATCCCCCCAGAAACAAACAAAATACAAGTTTCATTTTATGTCCCCTCCAAACATCAATCCACCAAAGGGGAGTTCAATCGACATTGGAAACGTCCCCGATTTGTTTTGGCCGACCAAAAATGGAACCGAAGCAAGTCCAGCGCAGAATGTTAAGATTAACTTCATGTTTCTTGCGCCTTGAAGCTTAGGAAACGTGCAGAGTACCTCGATCGTATGGATACATGGATGGCTGGATGGAGCAACCTGGGGTGCACGGCCCATGGCCTAGTCCCTCGCGACAGCGTCAACCCTCCGCCAGCGTGATTGGGATGATTCCGCTTGTTCAACCCGCAGGCCCCTCGCTTTTTGGTAGCAATTAGGATCAATCGCGCGGCACCTTGATCGACAACAAAAATGCGCCTCCGATCTCCTGACTCTCCAAATCATCGTCCACCAGCCGCACCCCCGACCTTCGTTGCGCCCTTCCCTGGTGGGAAGGTTGCAACCTCGTGAGCCTTTCGGGAAAATCGGGGACCGATTCATTTTGGGGTTGGTTCCATAATAAGTGAAGCTACCAAAGAAAAGGGGCATTGAAAAGGGGCATTGAAAAGAGGCTTTGGAAAGTGTCACGAAACAAATGGGGTGCCAGCTCATGTTGTTTAACTTTTTTCCCATCCCCAACCTGTGATTTGACAGCTTGATTGTTTTGCTTCATAGTTTTGGGGTGAAACAAAAGGATAGGGGTCGGACAATCAGGCTGCCCCACTGCACTAGCCAATCATGGTTGTGAAACATAGCCCTTTCTCTAAGTCGATCGGGCTTCCCGAAGCTGGTAACTCAAGCATCAGTTTTGTATGGCCTCATGTCAAGGACAACCGTCAAACGATAAATATTGTGTGATGCTAGGTTTTGGAAACCCTGATGTTTTGCAGCCAAATGCTCAATTCGTTGATCAGGAGGTCAGGCCACCCGTCCTACAAAAAGCTGGGTAGAGCGCTTTCTGCGACACCAGCATGGAATTGCGATGCCCCCCTGTGTCACAATGTTGCCATACATACATGCATGCATACATTACATTACATTACACTACACTACACTACATTACATTACATTACATTACATTGGATTACATTACATTCATTACATTCATTACATTCATTACTTACATACATACATACATACATACATACATACATACATACATAACATTACATAACATTACATAACATTACATAACATTACATAACATTACATAACATTACATAACATTACATAACATTACATAACATTACATAACATTACATACATACATACATTACATACATACATACATTACATACATACATTACATACATACATACATACATTACATACATACATACATACATACATTACATAAATACATACATACATACATAGATACATGCATACATACATACACTACACAGATACTACATACATACATACATACATACATACATACATACATACATACATACATACATACATACATACATTACATACATACATACATACAGACATTCATACATACATTAATTACATACATACATACATACATACATACATACATACATACATACATACATACATTACATACATACATACATACATACATACATACATACATACATACATACATACATACATACATACATACATACATACATACATTACATTCATTACTTACATACATACATACATACATACATACATACATACATACATACATACATACATACATACATACATACATACATACATACATACATACATACATACATACATACATACATACATACATACATACATACATACATACAT